CTCCCCTGTTGTTTCTCCTATCCTAAGCTCTTCCTTGTTTCACTTTCCCTCTCATTAGTTTCGAAGAGGCAATTTTCACAACAACCAATCAACTACTTTATACCTTAAAATTCCACAAATTCAAATGATCAATTTTTCACAAAGAGCAATCATTTCATCACTTTTTTAAAAAAAATCACTGTTTTGGGCAACTATATAATTGTAAGCTAATTTTTCCAAGGCAGCAATAATATCCCAGAATGTGTATGAGAATGACATTGCTTTTTATTATCTAGGACCACTAAGCTACTGCATGAGTTTATCCATGATGTAAAAGCTAAAATCTTAAATGTGTATGTTTTTCAATCAGTTGATAAGCTATGCTTTCCAATCTGTTAACAAAATGGAATAAGAAGCATATAATTAGGAAGGGAGGACCCTTAATAAAATTTCTCCAGAATTTTTATTTCAATGTCCACATTTAATTTTCAATTTAATTTTTGGCCTTAGCTGGCCAAAAATAGTGAAATCCAGCTATCTACTATTTATACGAAATAACTAAGTTTCAACACAGATAAGTTGAAAATGAAGAAGGAAAGATTTTCTAGGTAAATGACAAAGAAAAGGAAGCACAGGTGGCAATGTTAAGAGCACACGAGGTAGAATTTAAGGTGAAGAGTAAAAAGAAAAGAAAGGCTTAATTTAAATCAATAAAATATCCAATCTATTTAAATTAGCCATTATACATATCACATAAAATTGCATGAAAACATGATGACAGCAAGACAGACAAAAACATCATATAGTGGAAGATTTTAACTATCCCGAAAGATTTGACAAATCAAGTATACAAAGCAATAAAAACCTAGACAAATTTTCAAAGCACATGCATGAATAAGCTTAAATTATACCCTAGGCACAGAAAATACTTTCCAAATTCCCAGATTATTTACAAAATTAGACCATGTGCAAGACCACAACCAAATCTCAAACAATTCTAAAAAGTAATCACACAGATTGCAAATTTTAATAAACCCAAGACAATAAAACGAAGAAACTTACATCTAACACAGGAAAACCAATTATTATCAAAACTATCAAATAAATGTTTAGAATTATACATTTGAAAAAAGTTTTACCTTTCCTCCTCTGAAGAGAAACTCATATGAATATGGTATCTTCCAACAAAGCCATGCTTAGCAATGGTTATTTTTAAAATATTAACCACAAGTTTGTATGTGTGTGTTTTTTAAAGGCTAAAATTGCAAGGAGACTCAAAAAGATGAAGAAATAATTATCTTGACCTGTGTTCAATAACCCTACAGTAGAAATGCTTATTACCAGCCTTTTATTAATAGGAATGTCAACTTTCACTTAAATACTGAAAAACACACAGGAACATACAGGTTAAAAAAGGTAGGAAGAGCCCTAGCTGGTTTGGCTCAGTGGATAGAGCATCAGCCTGCGGACCAAAGGGTCCCAAGTTGGATTCCTGTCAAAGTCATGTACCTTGGTTGCAGGCTCCTCCCCAGCCCGGACCCTGGTCAGGGCTTGTGCAAGAGGCAACCAATCGTTGTGTTTCTCACATAAATGTTTCTCTCTGTCTTTCCTTCTCTCTTCCACTCTCTAAAAATCAATGGAAAAATATCTTTGGATGAGAATTAACAAAAAAACAAACAAAAAATACCACAAAAACAAAAAGGTAGGAAGAAAAAGCCATTCCTAAGAACCAAAACTAGATACAGAAAAGAGAAGAAAACAAATTTTAGAAAAACAAAATTCTTAGAGACCATTGTATTTTACCTGCTTTTATTTCACTAACAATACTAGTCATTATTCATAAGGGTGTTTACTACAGAACCACAAAATAAGCAAACTAATACAGGTATCCCCGCTTTTTGAAAGTCTGTTTTACTCCACTTGGCTTTTATTAAAGATCTATATTAATACTTGTCTTTGCTAACTGAAAGAAATCCAAAGAGGATTTTATCTTTTACCAAAAAAGGTGAAAATACAGCACTCGGCATTTGTCATGCAGAGAGCCATTACAGAGGCAGGGCACCTGGGCAGCGAGAGTGGTACTGCCAAGCTCTTCCCAGTGAAACTGAGGGTCCTTATGATGTTGATTAAACTTAGCTTTAAATCCTAGCTTCAGAAATCATCTCTATCTCTCTCTATCCCTCAGAGACCTGCCTTTTCCCTGGATAATCAGCAACTCTAGGGGCAGCAGAAGATAGCAGCCAGGATCTGACTAATATTGGTCACAAGGTCTAGACCTCTGGCCAGCTACAGATAACATGTTGAGCTGTTATGCATCAGTGCCTGAGTCCTAAGGTGGAAGGGCCCCCTGGCCCTGGCTACTTTCCCATGAGACTGGATAGAGGAACAAGGGAACAGATCTCAAAACTGTCCTCAAGACAGAAAGAAATGATTTATTACTCTTCCTCACCTCCAACCAATCAGTTCCCAGCATGACCCCGAAGCCCCAACCCACAGTGTCTTGCGATTTTGCCCTATATACTCTGTAAGCTACCCGTTGTGGGGAGTTCAGGCTTTGGAGCACCAGTTTGCTGGTCTCCTGGATGGCGCCTCCACTGCAATTCTCCATTTTTGGTGTTTGGCTGTTAGTACCACGTGGATGAACTCTTTCTGTTCTATAACACCTGGGAACCACACTCAGCATCAAGCTCTCACAGCTTTGAACTGTGTCTGAGAGCATCTGTGCTTTATCTCCATTAACTTATATATCCATTATAAAAGTGTGTTCTAAGGTAATCAGAAAAGTCTAAGAGAACTTGTAAAGGTGTTAACATAAAATTAGATGTAATAAAACATATTTGGCATGATTTGGTAGGTTATTTGGGAGATCTGGAAACACTAAAAATTTTTTCCATACAAATTAATGGCACTAGCTTCTTTGATTTACATATTTCAGCTTAACAAAAGCTGAATTTTCATAGGAATGCTCTGCTTTCATATAGAAGGGGAAACCTGTATTTTATTTCAGGTCAGTAAGGAAAAAAAAATACTTGTGGCAAAAAATGACAGTGTGCTATCAAATACAAGAAATAAAAAATCCTAGATTTCAGATAAACTCAATCACATAAGCAAAATTTTCCTCCCAAATAGAAATTTCCAACTGGCAGTCCTAATAGTTGGTAATCTCCAGACGGCCAAGGAATCCAAATTCAATTTGTCTATATTACTGATGCTATTCTGTGAACTGGACTGAAGGCCTATGGTAACCAACTCCCATGGACAGTGTTTAGGACATAGCTGCCTTACAATTAATTTTATAACACATCCAGTAAGTCTCTTTATTGTAACGTGCCAATATGTTATGCAATAATGACAAGTACTTTACAATCAGACACTCAATCTCTATTAAAATTACGAAATTTGAAAGAAAGAGTACTCAAGAGTATGCAAGATGCTTCTATTCCTTGAGTCATGGCTAGGGCAGTGATTATGCCAATAGTACAATAAAAAGGTATTATCTCTCCCTCCTCTGAAGGAACATCTGTAGTTCTTATTGTCTCTATCACTCATTTGGCACTCTGTTTCATATGCATCTGATCTGAATAAATCCCTTAAGGGCAACAGTGACTTCTTCTTATCAGGATCTTCCATGCAATACCTCACAACTCAATGTTTCTTAAATATTAACTGACTATTGTTAATTAACTGAGTAATGCCACCAACATATCCTTTCTTCAACAACACCTTTGGAGCATGGCTACCTGTTCTATAGTCTAGAGTGCCTATCCTTTCAAATTTTCTGAAAAAACTAAAATAAAGCAAACAAAGCTACAAGGTCTATTAAAATAGCTGGATTTTAGGTAAGTGGCATTAAATAAAAGGAATTACTTTTCTTTAGATTTATCCTAATTCTAATCAAACATCCAGTTACAGCAGAATTGGGTGGGACTTAATACTGTTTTAAGTTCCAGTCCCTGGATGGGAAAATAACAGCAACATCAAGAATGATGACAAACTTTACCATCTGTCCCCAATCTGTACTCAATCAATGCTCACCCCTACAACTTCCAAAAAGGTCCCCATGCCCTTAGTAAGTAATTCAAATATAAAATGCATCAGAATATCCTTAAAAACTTGTTAAAACACAAGCTGCTGGCCTGTACCCCCAGGAGTTTCTTATTCAGTTAGGTCTACAGTAGGCCTAAGTATTTGCATTTCTAATACATTTGCAAGGTGATGCCGATGCTACTCATCCAGGGACCAAACTTGCAGAATTATTACCTCATCTATGTTTGTTTATTGTACCTGATTAATTCATTCCAATCAAAGATGAAGTTTGATTCTTTACCTACTGTTCTAAACAGGTGTTGTTGATATGGTGTAAAAGCTTCATGTGGAACTTTTCAGCATGATATCAAATGTTTTTGGTCAACCAATGGGTGACTTCTTCATTTTTCCGGCTCCAAAATGCCACATGACCATTTGGAGCAGGTGACTACGTCCACAGGGAAGCACCAAGGAAGTTATTCAGTATACATTATTCCAGTTTAGAGTTACAGGGATAAACATATTATTCTCTCTGCCAGGAATGTTTTCCCCTCCTCCTTAACCTGGTTAACCTCTCCTTTCCTTTCAGGTCTTAGCTTGATATATGCAGGGAGGCCTTCCCTTTCCTTCCCATGACCATGTCAAATTCTCCTACTATGAGTTCTCATAGAATCCCTGGATCCTCTCCTATGTAGCCTTGTCATGGTTGAATTTTTTACATTTGCTTATTATAAATATTTTATTAATAATTGTTTTCCACACTGGACTATAAACTCCCTACAGACAGAGAACATTTTTTTTATTTTGATCATCATTATATTTTTAGTCCCTAGCACAATATCAGGCACATCAAAGATGTTCAAATAAAGGTAAAAAAGATCTGAGCTTTTTTATCCCTAAGAGAGGTAAGGAAAGTACTCTTCTATACTCTGCCCCTTTATCAATTTTCAGCTACCCAATATTCAAAATTAAGAAAAAAAAAAAAGAAGACCTACCTTTCCTGAATAATTCTTGAAGACTTTCAGCACTTTGATTTAATACAGCCCATATTTCTTCCTCCTGAAGGGGTCCACCCCGAACCTCCAGGGCCTCAGCTAGTGACACGTGCATATTACCTAGGAAACAAAGGTAACAGATGGTCTACACATCAAGTTTACTGCACTTGCAGGAGTGAAAGTTCTCATCTATGAGGTCCCTGTCTACCTAATTTTTCAATATGGCTTTCAATCTAAATATAATCCTACACTTAAACTCATAGAGGGTAAAGGTATTGAAGGGGGGGAAAAACATCAAAACAATTACTTGCCCTAGTACAATAGAGTCAACCTCAGAGACAGAACTAGAGAATAGTGGTGACGACTATTTCATGGGAGAAGACAGAGAGACCGCAGGGTCCCAGGAGGCCAAAGTGCATATGATTAAACCAAAGCAGCCAGACTGAACTGAAGACCTTTCAGATTACAGTTCCAAGTTTCACCCTACCCATCCAGGTAAAAAGAGTAGGAGGAGTAGAGAGGAGACCCTATAGACATACTGGGAGAAGTTGTGAATAAGATGGAGTATCTGTCTTCCATTCATTGATTGATTTCTGTATCTCCAACGTATATACTATAATCCTATATAATAAAAGCTAATATGCTAAGTGTCTGTCCGTTTATTCAACTGTTAGACCAGTCACTACGAGGCACACTGACCACCAGGGGGCAGACGCTTTGACCAGTAGGTTAGTTTGCTGCTAGGGTCTGGCCTATCAGGACTGGGCAAGATGGGCCGGACACGCCCTGGAGCTCTCTCCCTGGTCCCTCCCCAGCCAGCCAACCTCCCATGGTCCCTCCCCAGCCGGCAGGCCCCTATCAGCCCTGATTGCCCCGATCAGCCCCCATCGGGACTGGGCGAGACAGGCCGGACACACCCGGGATGAATCTGTGCACCAGGTGGGTTTCAGCCCCATCCCCGCAGGCCAGGCTGAGAGACCCCAGTGGTGCATGAATCCGAGCACCGGGTCTCTAGTATACTAGAACTATAAATCGTACACTGAATGGACTCAACTATTTCTAGACCTAGCTTTGCTGCTGAGGAAGTTCAGAACAGGCCTCTCCAAAGTGTGCCACTTTAGCATGTGAATTATTTTGAGTTGATGGCAAATTGAGACCCTGCAGGCTTGTGAGAAACTTAAATCTCTCCTCAAAGAATTTAAATTTGGGGCCTTGCCCATTAAAGGAGTTATTACTAGAGATTACTTTTTCCCCCCCCTATCTCGAGGACAGGGCAAACATCTAATTACTGAACATCTGCTCTACTTTTCATCCTTAAATGACCTTCTTCCCCTCTGCAGCCCCAAGTTGCCTTACCTCACCCTTAGTTCAGAATGCCATATTATACCTCCTTTAACTTTCTGTCTCTGAACCTCTTGTGTTTGTGGGGTATCTGACTCTCTCATGTACGTGAGGTTCCCATACATACATATGTAATTAAATTTGTTTATTTTCTCTTGTTAATCTGTCTCATATAGATTTAATTATTAGACTAATAGAAAGAACCGTAAAGAGTAAAGTTTCTTCCACACCTACACTGCCAACTTACCATTTGCCCTTGGGAAAATAATTTCACCTTTAAACCTCAGTTTCCCATTTATGACATAGGAATAATAATAATAATAATAATAATCCTCTGGGTACTATGACAAGGAAAGAGGTTATTCCTATAAGCATCTTCATAATCTAAGACTCTATAAAAATTTGGAAAGGTGCCTTTGTGATAACATTTTTGTAGGGTCAATTTTTTCAGTGGCATTCAATTAAGTAGGTGATCTATTGATACCATTTAAGGTTTCTTTGGGTCTCAATAATCCTATTTTCCTTTTGGAAGGAAAAATGCAGCTAGTCAAAACTTCCTATATAGATTTTCCTGAATTGATACTTCTTGAAAAGAAAATTGCACTTTACAGTGATTACTAAAATTTCTACCCAGACCAAACCAATTCAAGCACAATGGCAATGTATATATTATGGTAGGCAGAAGCAGATGGATTGGGAAAAGAAGCTACGAAGCTAAAGGGAGTGAAAAACATTAAATACTTATTTTCTGTAATATATCTTTTGTTAAATTTTAAAATTAACCTATAAAAGGCTAACTAACAGAAAAAGCTAATAGTTTCTTTTAATTTACATTTATGATAGTTTAACTCAGAATGAAAAAAGCAACTCCAGCAACAAAATGAGGCCAGCCTTGTCCTGTTACTTTCCTTTTCAAATGTGTACTATAGCATTTTATGCTTAGGGTCTGCCTTGAGGGGTGTCTACTTAAATGTACAATGTGGTAGTTCAAAGGGAAGATATAAGCCCTGGCCAGGTGGCTCGGTTGGTTGGAGTGTCGTCCTGTACACCAAAAGGTTGCAGGTTCGATTCCTATTTAGGGCACATTCCTAGGTTTCAGGTTCGATTCCCAGGTTGGGGCACATATGGGAGGCAACTGATCAATGCTTCTCTCCTACATCGATGTTTCACCTCTCTCTCTCTAAAAAAAATAAATAAATAAATAATAATAAAAAAACATATCCTCAGGTGAGGATTAAAAAAAGGGAAGGAGGAGACGATACTACTTTAAAAAGCCAAAATAGTTTTTATTTAGCCTGTATAAGAAGTATGATTATTTATTCAGATTAAACCACCAAAAATTCCCTAGGCTTTTTTTTTTTTTTTTTTTTTTTTTTCTCCCTAGGCTTTTCATGTACTTTATCATATGATAAAAAAGGAAAAATGTTTAAATTCAATTTATTAAAGGGAAAAAACAGAAACTGACTCCTAAGAGATATTCTGAGTTGTCTTCTAAATAAAACAGTATATTAAATTGGAATTTTTTAATAGAGGCATCCAGATACTATTAGCAATCAGTAGTAACATAACTTGTGAAAAAAGACTATTCTGTTGTAAATTTCCACAGTGATATGTCCGAGAACCAGTTAGATAGCTCTAAAGCCAACACACAGGCATGAAGAGTAGAGAGAAAATTGCCTAAGGATCTCTTTGAAGAGAGTTGTGCTGGTTTTCATGCTTCTCCAAAGCAGGAGGGGTGTGGGAAAAGTGTCATTTTTTCACATGAAGCCAGTGAAAGAAGCTCAATGGGACACATTGGAGTGCTTCGTCCCTAGAGTGGGGGTGGGGGGTGGAGAGGGAGGGCACAGACTGGTGCCTGATACTTTAGGGATCTAAAGACTCTGGCTATCACTCTGAAGCAGCAGCCAGTGGGGAGGAGAGGGGACACACTAGAGTCAGAGTGAGGTAGCATGCTTTATTGGGAGAAAACTACTCCTCCATTAGTAGTGACGGAGGGAGGAGCAAGAAGCAGGGCTACGCAGAGGGCCAGCCTGGAGCTACAGAATCCTATCCATATGATAAAAAGGTCCCCAAACGTTATATTGTTTTACAGCTCTTTGCTTACACTAAAAACTACAGAAGGTGCATTTTTAAAAGGGTGAATTATATGGCACTTGAATTATATTTCAATAAAGCTGTTTAAAAAAATCCTACTCAGGATACCACTCAAGTTTCTCAGAGTACCACTAGGAGAATGGGGAGAGGGGGAGAAGAATGTGGAGAAGAATTTATATTTAAAGAAATCAGTTTTTCTTATTTCCTATAAATAAGGAAGTGAAAAAATAAAAGTAATTTTTAACACAATTTCTCGTTGCTTGATTCAATCAGGTCTTAATTATGTTTTATTAATCCTCTGTTAATTTCTATTTATAATTTTTTTTGGTCTATTTAGTGAAGGATTTCTATGCATCTCTGATTGGTACTTGTTAGAATTCTGAAATACAGAAGGAACATTTGCTTTTGTACTGCAATGTCATCTAGCCAACAACAGATTTAATGTATATATTTTAAAATTTATTTTTGTTGTTGAAAGTATTACATATACTTCCTTTTTGCCACTGACCCCCCTCCCCCCCCCGCAACTCACACCTCTCCCCACAGGCCTTCATGACACTATTGACTGTGTCCATGGGTTATGCATATCCTATATAATAAAGAGGTATTATGCTAATTGACTGTCACACCCTCAAAAGATGGTGGTGCCCACAGCCACAAGATGGTGGTGCCCAGTCCCCTCAGTCCCGCTGGGGCGGCAGCAGTGTACCTGCCTCTGGAGTCCCCTAGTCCCCTCAGACCTTAGCCGCCCAGGGCCTCCCGAGGCTCAGGTAACCAGGGCCGGCAGAGGCTTGTGCTGCCAGCAATGGCAGCAGCAGAGGTGTGAGGGGGCGTTGCCTTCCCCTGATCGCCAGGTCTCCTCCCGTCCCTGAGGGCTCCCGGACTGTGAGAGGGGGCAGGCCGGGCTGAGGGAGCCCCCTCCAGTGCATGAATTTTCATGCAC